GATAAAGTTTGAAATTCTTTATTAAACCTGCTTTTGACCGGTGCATGATTACCAGTATTTAAACTTTTATGTATGTACGATCAGGATTATGTTACACGATTGCTATGTTCTGTGAACATAACCCTGTGCTACAAATCTATGGAACATCGATCTAGAGAGAATGAATGATATCAACTAAAACTTTAATTTACGGTTTATAAATCCAAACACGCTACAAGAATCGACCGAATTTCAATTAAACCCAAATCTACTACTAAAGATTTGTATCTATTCAAATTAAAATCAGCACCTTCATTTCACGTAAAATATTAAAGCAACATAAATATTTGTAACCAGAAAATAAAGGAACCACCATTTTGCAATAAATATAATAGTTCTTGTAGTCAATTTATTAATTTAACTAAGTGCTAGATAATTATAAAGTTTCATGTATCCGAATTTCCATCTGATTCAAAATAAACTGGCTCATATTTCAGAGATTTTAAGATCTTAAAAATTTGCTTCATTACTGGTCGTTCAGAAGGATTTTCATGCCAGCATTTAGAATATAATTCAATATATTGCAAGGGAGTTTCATTTATTGGCTTCTCTCGCAAACCGTCTTTGGAAATTTCAAGACAAAGTCCAACAAAATCCTTTCCTTCAAAAGGGACTCTGCAACTTGAAAGCTCCCAAAGAAGGACACCGATACTGTAAACATCTGATTTTTTATCCAGAATGTATCTTTTGTCGAGAAGCTTTTGGGGGTCAATATAAGGAATCATCCCAAAAATTTTATTACTTGTTGATATTGTACTATTGAGATTTTTTGCCAAGCCAAAATCAGCAACTTTTATGTTGCCATGATGAATAAGAACGTTCTTTGAATGCTAAAGAATATTTATATTACTTCTTAGTTTAAAATAAAGTCATCCAAATTGTTTTAAATAATGCATACCAAATCGCGATGAGTGATCATCCTACTGTGTAAGTAAGACATTCCCTCAACTATTTGCATTGCTAATTCAACTTTTTTTTCCCAAGAAAGTATAGTGATTTTCAAATATTGACGTAAAGTTCCACTCTCCGCGTATTCCATCAAAAGGTAATAAGCTCCACGACTATGATCTTCATTATTGATATTAATAAAAGTATAGATTTGCGTGAAAAAAAATAATAAAAAAATCACTAACCATTGCTATGGATGCGAAACTTGACTATGCAATTTTAACTAATTATAAAGTGTTTAATATTATGTCGCATATGTTTTTGAAAAAATTTTGCGATTTATATGGATATAGTATCTTTACTAAACCTTAAAATCACTAACCTCATTAAGAAATGTTTTAATTCCCTTTTCATCATCATCTTCTGAAATGAATATTTCCTTTACAGCAATCTTTTCACACTGTATTGAGTTACAAGAAGTACAGTAAACATTTCCAAATGCACCACGATTTACATATTTCAATGTTCCCAAATTATCATAAGATATTTCTTTTAAATTATAGTTATCAATTGCAATTTGAAA